AGCTGGATGCCGCTGCTGGAGAGACTCATCGAGGGCATTAACCCCGAAAAGGTGACACCCCGTAGCTGGGGACAAGGGGGGAACTAACCCGAAGCTCTTACATCCCTCCCAAGGGGTGGATGTGCAGCTGGTGTGGCCACTTGCTGCAGTTTCCAGCCTTCAGGACCTTGGTCCCACACACAGCCTGATGAAAAGCCCACGGGTATGGGTGACATAGGTGGGGTGGGAGCTGCTTTACAAGRCCATGGGTGCCCTCTGAAGGTGACGAGCAGGACGGCACCCACCTTGCTGGAGCCCAGGACCTCATTCCATCCCATCCAGAGGTTCCCAGTGAAACTGGAGGGTTGGTCCAGGAGCAGAGGTAGTGTCCATATCCAACCTTCTCTGCCTTTGGCTCTGCAGGTGCATCCAGATTTTCGCCTCTGGCTCACGAGCCTCCCTAGCAACTGCTTCCCCGTGTCCATCCTCCAGAACAGCTCCAAGATGACCATCGAGCCCCCCCGCGGGGTCAAGGCCAACCTGCTCAAGTCCTACATTAGCTTCAGCGACGACTTCCTGAATTCTTGCCCCAAGGTAAGAGCCACCTCCTGCTTTGGTTCCTGCTCCAGCACATGCTTGCACCTTGCCCTCCACGAGAGCTCTCACATGCTAGAGAGGGGCTGGTGGTGTTTCTCCTCAGCCAGGATCTCCCCCGTGAGCAGCCAGTTACAAACAGCATCCCACTTTGAGGAATAAAGCAGCAATACTGCAGAGACCTGGAGTTTCCCCCTCTCCAGGTGCCTCCACCTCATTGGCACTGCTGAACTGGCAAGTGGCACATGCTGTTTTCTGCCTGCTGCCAGGTCCCACGGGTACTTACACCATCCAATGTCATGTTCTCCCAAGCTGAGCGCTGCTTCTCCCTGCTCCCAGGTCCCGGAGTTCAAATCCTTGTTGCTGTCCCTCTGCCTTTTCCACGGGAACATGTTGGAGAGAAGGAAGTTCGGGCCGCTGGGCTTCAACATCCCTTACGAGTTCACAGACGGAGACCTGCGCATCTGCATCAGCCAGCTGAAGATGTTCTTGAGCGAGTACACGGATATCCCGTACAAGGTGAGCCCACGAGCCAGCCCTTTCCATGCGGGAAAGCAGGACGTGCCCATAGGAGACGTGTCCCACGCACCCTCACAGGTTCTCAAGTACACGGCCGGGGAGATCAACTACGGGGGCCGCGTCACCGACGACTGGGACCGACGCTGCATCATGAACATCCTGGAAGATTTCTACCAGCCCGAGGTCCTCGTGCCCGACTTCACCTATTCCGAATCGGGCATCTACAAGCAGATCAGCACCTCTCATGACCTRGATGTAAGTACTGTAAATACAACGTGCTGACAAACACACCCCCATCCTCATGGATCCAGGCACTAGCACATAGGGTGTCTCCTCCTCCCTGGTACCCACAGAATTTCTAGTTCCCAGGGGGAATCCACATTAGTAAAAAGCTGGAAAATCCTAAACCACTTTCATCCACCTGCACCTCTTTGGGGTAACTGAAGGGAAAGGCAACTGTTCTTACAGGAAAGTAGTAGCCCTCACCAGACCCCCCCCAGCTGGAAGTGTGTGTACTCTGAACCCCTTTGCTATAAATCAAATTAGCTGTTATACCAGATACTTTCAGATGGAAGCCTCTGACGAGCTTTCCTGGAGCCACTGCTAAGCTGTCCATTCCAGCAGAACATTTGCTCCATCACGGGAGCAGTTTTGCTCCCCAGCCAAAGCTCTCACCACGGCCTCCAAGCCTCTCAGCGAGGCTGCTACTGCCCTCACCTCCCCAGCAGCCCCAGTCCCTCTGCCATCAGTCAGTGCCCCTGCTCTCACAAAAGCTGCCCCTGAGCAACAGCCGTGAATTCMACATTACCTGGTGTGACAGGCGACAAGGAGCTAAGGGTCAGGTAAGTGAATCTTGACCCGACAGACAAGGAGCATCTTCCAGCAGAGGTTGCAGATCCATAGTTGGCCGGGATGAGTATCCAAGGGCCCTCGCTTAGTTATTTCTTTCACGCCAGCCAGAGGGACACCACAATTTTCCCCTCCCAAACCTGCTGCCTGCCTCTGCCCGTGCACTGCTCCCCAGGGCTACCTGCAGTACATCAAGAGCCTGCCCCTCAACGACGTGCCGGAGATCTTCGGGCTGCACGACAACGCCAACATCACCTTYGCCCAGAACGAGACCTTCGCTCTGCTGGGCGCGATCATCCAGCTGCAGCCCAAGACGTCCACGGCTGGAGGCCACAGCAGGGAGGAGGTGGGTGCCAGCATGGCTCACACGCTCCCTTTCTTCTTCCACGTCCTCTTTCTCCTCCCACTCACCCATTCCGGCCTCTGGTCCCTTCCTGAAGTGTCCCAGCAGTTTCACAGATGGGCAGGGATGCTGCCCCATCCAGCCAGGTTCCCCACACTTGGCCTCACGTTTCTCCCCCTAGTTTTTTTCCAAGCAGAACCAAAGGCTTTGGAATATTGGCCAGGGCTCTGTGGGACCAGCCTGAGCAAGCCCTGAGCTTGCTGCACCCTCACCATCCCTGCCAACCTGCCCTGCCYGTGGGGCGAGGGCACCAGCAGCTGGGATGGGACACGCTCACCTGCTGCCACGTGCCTTCCAGCTCGTGGAGGAGACCTCCAAGGACATCCTGGCCAAGCTGCCTCCCCCCATTAACCTGGAGGAGGTGATGCGCAAGTACCCGGTGCTCTACGAGGAGTCCATGAACACCGTRCTGGTGCAGGAGGTGATCAGGTAAGCCCAGAAGTGCCCAGTCCTCACCTTGGGATGGGATGGTCCCCCCAGGGAGAGACAGGCATGCACAGGTCCTCCCCTTGGAAACCTTCCTGCCAACCATGGCCTGCAGCACAGGCACTGGAAGCTGCAGCAATGGCTTTGGTATCCCAGCCAGATCCCTCTTCCAGGGCTCGGGGGGCAGATACAAGACCCTCATCCAAGAGGCTGGGGGCTCTCAGGGAAGAGCTTCCATSACTGCACAGGGACCATGATTCCCTCCAGGAGCCTGGGCTCACTTGAGCTGAGGTGCTAGACCTGTGCCCCGGGTCCCTCTTGGGAGACCTCAGCCGGTTCTCCCCAGGTACAACAGGCTCCTGGAGGCGATTGCCCAGACGCTGCGGGATCTGCTGAAGGCTCTCAAGGGCCTGGTGGTGATGTCCTCCCAGCTGGAGCTGATGGCCGACAGCCTGTACAACAACAGCGTCCCCAAGCTGTGGGACTCCAAGGTACCCTATGAGCTCGGCCACCCTCTTGTTCCTGGGCAGCCCTCGGCGTCCAAGGTTTGGGACATCCCCACGCGTCTTCACTGTGGCCACCCCACAGGCCTACCCGTCGCTGAAGCCCTTGGCGTCCTGGGTCAGCGACCTGCTGCAGCGGATCGAGTTCCTGCAGAAGTGGATCAGCCACGGGATCCCTCCGGTGTTCTGGATCAGCGGCTTCTTCTTCCCGCAGGCCTTCCTCACGGGCACCCTGCAGAACTTTGCCCGCAAGTCCGTCATCTCCATCGACACCATCTCGTTTAGCTTCGAGGTCCGTGAGTTAACCCGAGCTGCTGCATTGCGGCTGCCTGTTCAGCACTAGAAAGCAAAACGTGCAGGACACTGAATTCCAGATGTGGAATTCAGATGTGGAAGCCCCCCAGCTGCCCCCAGGGTCTGGACCCCCTCAAGAGCCAGGGCAGGTCCCCTTGGCCAGCACTAAGTCAGGAATAGGGAAGGAAGGTCCAAGGGAGGCTTGATGCCAGGGCCACGGTCCTCCCGCAGGTGCTGAAGGAGTCTCCCAGCGAGCTCACCCACCGTCCCCAGGAGGGCTGCTACATCCACGGCCTGTTCCTGGAAGGCGCCCGCTGGGACCCCGGCACCTTCCGGCTGGCCGAGTCGCGTCCCAAGGAGCTTTACACGGAGATGGCCGTCATCTGGCTCGTCCCTGTCCCCAACCGCAAGCCTCCCGCCGCCGGCGTCTACCTGTGCCCCATCTACAAGACACTCACACGTGCAGGTAGGTGCCCCAAGGCYGAGGGGACAGCGGTGGCTCCAGGCTGCTTGTGCTCCCAGCACGTTCCTGCTGGCCAGGGAGAGACGGGAAAACTCACGGAGATCAGAGCAGCCAGGCAGAGTCACAGTGGTTGAGGGTGGAAGGGGCTTCTATAGAGATCATCTAGTCCAGCCCCCTGCACAGGGTGGCATCCAGGTGGGTTTGGAAGACCTCCAGAGGAGACTCCACAGCCTCCCCGGGCAGCCTGTTCCAGGGCTCTGTCACCCTCACAATCAAGAAGTTCCTCCTCACGTGGAGACGGAACCTCCTGTGTGGCAACGCACACCCATTGCCCCTCGTCCTGTCMCTGGCACCACTGAGGAGAGCTTGGCCCCTTCCTCCCTACATTCCCCCTTCACATCCATAGGGGCAGCCCAGCGAGCCCGCAGCTCCTCCAGCCGGGCTGCCCTTAAATCCTTGGGCTCGGCCCTTCCACCACACAAGTCCGTTCTCCCACTGTTGTCACCCAGTGCTGGGATGGCACCGGGGACGRCACCCAGGAAAGCACAYGCAGGGCGCCCYGCTCTGCCTGTGGGCGATGCTGGTACCGCTCCCGCTCCTCCCTTTCCCTCTCCCCGCTTCCAGGAACGCTGTCGACCACGGGCCATTCCACCAACTACGTGATCGCYGTGGAGATCCCTACGGACCAGCCCCAGCGGCACTGGATCAAGCGGGGCACGGCCCTCATCTGCGCCCTGGATTTCTAGCCACGAGACCCTGTCCCGCACTTAATCAATAAAACACCTCAACTCCCCCGGCRTCACATCCATCTCTTGTATTTCCCACCATTAGGGCAAGTTTTTAACCCCAGGGAAGAGGGGCCAAGGTGCCCGGGATGCAGCAGGGCTCCAGGGCCGCTCCGGCGCGTGGATCCAATGCCCGACACCCAGAGCGGCGCCCGCTCCTCTCCCTGCCCTGGCGCGTGGCTCCCTGGGGTGGCTGTTACACGACAGCTTTATTCGTTCGACAGATCCACTATTTACAGCACTTGGTATTGGACACAGCAAGAGAGCGAGGATTTTCTTCCCCTCAACAAATACCAAGAGAGAGGTTTCACTCCACAGGCAAGCCCTGTACAACTCTGCCCCTTTGGCAAGCTCCTTCCCCTGCCTCTCGGGGCGGCACCGGCCTCAGGCTCCTCCGCTCTGCCAGGGCGCAGGGAGAAGGAGGCCGGTTGCAGAGGTGCTCGGGAGGCAGGAGGCCRCGGTGAGGGGCAGGTCTGGAGAGCTCTGCAGCGAGAGCAGCTGTGGACGGGCCCCTGGGCTCGTGCCTGCGGTCCCCATCGCTCACYGCCACCGCTGGCACCTCTGCCCACRGTGAAGGGGCACCGRCCTGGTCCAGCTTCCACCCTCGAGGCAGGTCCGGCCACCCCGAGGACCCCCTTGGGTGCCTGGGCACAAGCAGCAGSCCCCTGGGCCTGCTCGTTCATCCCTGGGTTTCTCCAGGCTCCCAGCAAGCCCGAAGGCATCGCTGGAGCCACCAGACTGGTCCCGTGGAGAGCAGTGGTGGAAGGAGAGGCACACGCCAGCACCGAGGGGCAGCTCCAAGGCCACCCAGCTGCCAGGAGCCACCTCAGCACCAAGAGCCCAGCGTGCCACAGCCAGAAGATGGGCTTGGTAAAGGGAAGGAGAGGATTAGCAAACAGCCTTGAGCATCCCGGAGGGATGCAGAGCTGAAGGCCTGGACACAGGAGGCCACAAGGTCCTATCACCGTGACCCGCCCCAGGCCACACTGGTCACCAGCCGGGTGGGTTGCCCCCGTCCTGCYGGGGCCACTGAAACGTGGGCCCCCCGTGTCCGCACGTGGCTGTGGCACAGCCAGCTGGGCACTCGGAGGAGCCTTTGCCCGGGCTCCCCTTGGGACAAGGCGTTGTTGCCTTTCACAACCGGGGCTCAGAGGAAAACCCCATTCCCGTTTGCCCCTGGGCTCCAGCTTCACCCAACACTAAGGGTGCGAGCAGGGAGCACCCAGTCAAGGGCTTCTCCCGGCGGGGATCCCTCTTCCTTGGGCAAAGAGGGGCATCAATCCAAGCGTCGCTGCCCAAAGCCACAGGGCCCGGCTGCTTCTCACAGTCTCCACCCGGCAGCTACTGGCGCTTGGCTTTGTAGGGCCGGGAGCGTTTCCGACGGTCCGGCTTCCTCTGCTTGTGCAGGCGCCCGATGCTGACGCCCTGGCGTCGGCGCACGGAGATGTTCTGCTCCACGAGGCTGGCCAGCATGCCTGCGGGGACAGGGCAGCGCACACGTGCCAGGGACCGGGCTGAAGGCACCAGCTACACGCAGAAATCRGGGTGCTGGGTACCCTCTCCTACCTGAAACCCATCCCCGAGCTCCTTCTGGGACAGTAAAACCAGGAGGGTGCAGAGCAGAGACCCTGCTCCCCAGCACAAGCCCCCCGAGCAGCAGCTCGTGCCCCAGGCCCAGCAGAAAGAAGCCAGCAGGGAGCTCCCCACATTCCCAGCACTGCTCCCCAGTGGCTGGCCCTRAACCAAGTCCCTGCCCCACGCTCACCTTCCTGGGCCAGCATGGAGATGAAGGTGCAAATGAACTCATCGTAGTTGTGGGTTCTCCTCTGGTCATCAATCTACAAGGAGAGCAAGACAGAGACATCAAGACCACCAGCTGCCTCACAGGGCAGAGAGCAYGGCTCATCCCACAGGCCAGGGAGACCGAAGCAGAAAGGGACACAGCTCCCAGCCACAGCAGAGGATTCAGTGTGAGCAGACATGAAGAGGGGCCAYCTCCATCCCAGCCTTCTCCACAAAAGGCAGCGGGACACAGGCGAGGGCTGGCACAGCAGGAATCCTGCTGGACATCCAGGCTGAGAYGCCTGCTCTCCCTCCTGGCCAGGCCAAGGTTGACCACAGCCCGGCTGCGGCACCGCTCCATCCTCCGTGAGCAGATGCTGCTACAATTACCTTGAATTTCTTCCTCTTCTCCACCTCCTCCTTCAGGCAGGCCTCGTAGTTGGCRATCTCTGCCTCCACGCACTTCAGCAGCGCCAGCAGCTCCTGCCAGGGTGAAGCAGAGAGAACGTGAGCACAGGGCATCCTGCCAGGGAAAGGGAGCTGTGGGCCCTGAAGCCAGCAGGACGGGCTGGCGGGTTGGCCTCTCTGTGCTGGGAAAAGGAGGATTCCTCAAAACAAGAGGCACTGGGCAGGGCAACAAACAGCACTTCATGATGGGGACGTTCTGAGCTGGAGGATAATCAATGGGGCAGCTGGGGCTCGGCCTCCTCTGCCTAGGCCCGGCCCAGGCCCAGGCCCAGGCCCCTGCTTCTTGAGAACACGGGGAAGTGATTGCATGTGTGCCAGGAACATCCAAGGGCCTGGTTCTTCTGCTTGAATTAAAAAAAGGACAGAGGAGAAAACCCTTGCAGACTTCCCTTAAGTCAAGCAGAAGGCATGTTCCTAGCCAGCCCTCCTCAGGAGGCCTCCAGGCGCTTGTGCAGTCCAAGCCTGCTCCTGGCTGGAGACAGGCAAGGCTGGGAATGGTCTCTCCCCGGCCACGGTCCCACYGGGCTCGGGCCCAGGAGCCCAGACCACCATGCCCAAGATGTGAGGCACAAAACCTGGCCCCTCGAGGCACGGCTGCTGCGAGAGCCCCTCAGGCCAGCGGGAGATCCTGGGCGAGCACGGAGAGCTCCACGTTCCCAGGGCTGCCGCAGCACAAAACTCACCTTGGGAGAATACTTTTCCCCCCCAGGGTGATCACTGGTCCTGCCAAGTCCCACCTTCTCTTTGCTGTCACTGGCCTCACTGCCCTCCTTCTCTTCCAGCTTGATAGCGACCTGCGTCTCTTCACCGGGTTTGATGGAAGAGGGGGAGCCTTTCCCCCCATCTGCGCACAGCAGAAGGGAGCATTAGGATCCACCACCAAAAACTCGCCCTCCCTGCCTGCATCCAAGGACCTGCTCCCCTCCTGCACCCCCGAGAGGGGCTACCTGCGACAGCGAGCGGGCAGAACACGCCGTCCTCGGTGAGGTGCAGCAGGCCCGTGCTGACGAGCGGCCCCAGGTCGCGCACGGCGCGGTTGTAGCGCATGCAGTCCACGCGCAGCAGCCCGTCCTCCTCGCCRAAGAGCACCTTGGAGATGTGCGAGGCGACGGGGCTGGAGGGGCGCGTGGCGCTGGCCGAGCGGATGGGCGAGCGCAGCGGCGAGTTGAAGGCGCTGCCGATCTCCGAGGCCGTGTCCGTGCTCTCGTTGCTGGGCGTGGGGGAAGGCTGGGAATGGGCCACCACGGCCACGGCGGCACCCCCGCTGCTCGTCTTGATGGACAGCGGCATGGAAAGGTCCTTCTGGGACTCCTTCAGCTTCTCCGTGAGGACGTTGATGGTGTTGGGCTGCAGGAYGGAGAGCTGGCCGTCGGCGGCCGCCGCCGCGTGCTCTTGCTTCACCTGCCCCTTCCTTTTGTACCTGCTCGGAAACAGAGATCAATAAAGCAAGGTCTGAAGCTCTTCCAGGGCCTCTCACTGCCACCAGCTGCTCTGACACCCCTCACTGCCCCTCATCTGCTTGGCTGCAGTACCCCTGCAGCTCAGGGGGGCTTCAAAACTCTCAGGGGGCTTCCCACAACATGCTGTGTTCCCCCACATTTCGTTCACAAGCCTTATGGCTATCCCAAAACACCATCGCTGTGATCCAATCTGGCCATCAGCACAAGCCGGATAAGGCTCAGTTGGGAGAAAGGAAGCCCACCAGGTCCTGTGCCCACCAAGAAGGGGGCACCGAGCACCCTTGGCCAGCAGGCACCCTCCAACACAGCTCAAACAGCCCCCGTCTCCAACGCAACACAGCAATTATCAGCATGGGAGCCCTTCCCCAGGACGCAACCCACCAGCGCTGCCCGACACAGCTCCCCCCGTGCTACCTGATGGCCGAGCTGCTGTTACGAACTTCYTCCTCCTCGTCGTCGTCGTAGTCATCCTCGTCATCCGAGTACTGCTGGTGCGGCCGGACCGGCACGCGGCTACGGCCCACGCCGGCTGCAAGGTCTTCCTCCTCCTGCAAGACATCCCCGTTGGGAGCCTGCCGGCAGCGGGGCAGGCAGCACCACGGAGGAACATCCCAGCCCTCCCACATCAGCAGGCACCGAGGCAGCCTCTGTCCTTTGCTCTTCCCCCCTAAACATCCCCCGGYGCCAACCCTCAACCCTCCTGCAGCTTCTGCCTCGTGTCCAAGCTAATCCCTCCCGCCAGGGTAGTTCTCACCTGCCCACCCAGCCTGGGTGGCACGAGGGAAAGCTCCCTGCAAAACGAGGGAAGGGGCACCAGGAAAGCCCCCRGCACTGTGGGGCTGGAAGCAGCCGGCTCAGCTGCAGTCAGGCACCCCACAGGCCGGCGCTCCTGCCTACCTGCATGGGGGATTTGGCGTAATTGTGGTTGTCCAGGAAGGCTGGCAGCCTCTGCACGATGGGGTTGGGGGCGGCCGGGGGCGCCCCGTTGATGCTGCTCACGGGTGGCTTGGCCAGCGGCTTGGCTTTGCTGGGGGGGCTCTGCGTGGCTGCGGCGGGGGCCGGGCCGGCGGCATCCTCGCTGCTCTCTGGGGCACGAGCACAGGGCCGCCCTTTATTCCACGTCCCCCGTCATCCACCCCTTGCCGCCCCACGGAACAGAGGGGCTCTCATGCTCCCCCAGACCCAGGGCATCTGGGTCCCCAGACCCATTTTCTGTTGCATCTCCCACCACCACGAGCACCCCCATAATCAAGCCCTCCCTCTCTCAAGCTCTGCATCTCTCCAGCACTCCTGCCATGCACAGGGGCATTTAAGCCACCTGGTCAGGCCTGCTCCACAACCATGTGTCCAGAGGGGCTTAGAGAGGAAGAAAACGAAGCCGACCACAACTGTCTCGAGCTCCAGGTGAGGCAGGAGCTGGTACCAGGCAGCAGTGCCAGGGCAGCTGGCAAGCCTGCAGGAGTGAGGGCTGTTACCTGGACGGGTGCTCTCCGGGGCYGCCGCCTTGCTGCTGGCTGGCTTGGCCTCTTCGGGGGGCTGCGACTCYTGGGACTTCTGAGTCTGGATCAGTTCAGGCTGAGTTACTCGGATGAGCTTGAAAGCAAAAGACAGGCAGAAACTGGGAGCTGGAGGAGGGAGACCCACGCCACAGCAGGAGGAGAACGGGCAAGGCTACGCCAGGCTCCAGGTTCCCACCATGCTATCAACTGAGCAGACACCCTCCCAGCTGAACACGACCCACGCAGCAAGAGAGTTCAGCTCTCTGCAGGGATAACAGTGTGGGAAGGGATCCAAGGCACAGGGAAGGGAGACCTGCCCACCCCAGAGGACACCTCGCAAAGCAGCAGGTCAGAAAAACGCCACAGCAGAAGGAGATGCCCTGGCAGCAGAGGGTCTGYGGGTGGCTGGCGCGGGGCCCGCGCCGCCCCACCTGCTGCAGGGCCTCCAGCACCGTCTGGCGGTTCATCTTCAGGATGTGCAGCTTGGACTCGTACTTGATCCTGCGGTCGGGCACCACTGCCATCAGGTTGAAGCGGATGTCGTGGTAGGGCTCCCTGCAGGGAGGGCAGCAGGCGTGAGCCTGGGCTCCCCCCAGCACGGGCCCCGGCGGGCTGCTGGCCACCGCAGCCCTGGGAGCAGCCKCCAGGCAGCACCTCCTCTGCCCTGGGCTCAACCCCAGCACAGGCAAGCTCCATTTCCCTCCAAAGAAATCGAGCTCACATCAGCTCAAGCAGCAGAGCAAGGTCATTTCARCCCCAATTGCAAAGGAGGCTGCACTGGTGTTGAAACCAAATGAATAACCTAGGGCAGCTTCAGCATCTTTTCTGGAAGGGGGTGCATGTGTCCCTCCCAAGCAACATTCCCCATCCCCGTTTCCATCATTCTTTACACAGTGGCCGAGCAGAAATGCCTCGGGGGACACGGGGACGGCGCAGGGCACACAGCACAGCCTGGCACCTCACCCTGCAGTGGCCAGGCCGATCCGTTCCATGATCACTCTCCTGGCTTTGTCTGTCCATTCTTCGTCATCAGCCCAAGGCCCTGGGGAAAAAAGGCAGAGCTGGAATTAGCAAAGCAGGACGAGGCTGCGGCCCCAGACCCACAGAGCAGCAGCTCCTGCCATCCCCAGTGTCCTCTCGTGGCTCCAGGGCACTGACAGGAGACTGTGGATGGGAGCACATTAGCCCCACCAGYGAGATCCACACGACTGCCTCTTGGTCCCAAGTGAGACCCAAGAAATCCAAATGCATTTGGCAAGTATTTTACCAAAAGCCCTAATACGTAGAAGCAAACTCCTTGCATAGATAAGCAAGTGCTGGAAGGCAGAACTAAGCAGTGGAGTTGTAAGAGGACAGAGTAATCAGAGCCATCCTGTTAGGATCTGTGCTGGGGACTTTGCCTTGACAGACAGGGGTTATCTGGCACAGGGAAAGGGCAAGGAGAAGACAGCTTCTACTTGCAACACCAACTTATTCAGGAGAGGKAAAACAAAAGCCAGTTCTGGAGACCTATGGGAGGACCTTGTGACCCCTGGACAGAAAWAGGCTGGAAAAATTAATGTAGTGGATTCAGAAACAATCAAGTCTTCCGCACATAATCCTCAGTGACAGGTTCCAAGTGAGCTATCAGAAACTTGGCACCAATCTAGGAGTCACCGGAGCGATTCTCCAAAGCCACCCGCTAACACTTAAGGGCAACGAAGACAACACCCACTGGCAYACTTGGAACTGGGATGAGAGACAAGACCAGCCAGGGTGTCCCGTGCTGATGAGCAGGGTCGCACAGCCCTGGGCCTCTTACCGTGGTCAATGGGGTAAACCTTGAGCCCATCCAGCTCAAAGAGCCGCCCCTTGATGGGCACGTAGCTGACGAAATGGAAAGCCTCCATGGTCCGCACGGCGCTGATCCCGTTCTGCTTCTCCGGCAGGTGCCGCGGCTCCGGCCTGGGAAGGCAGGAGAGCCGAGAGGTGAGGAGGGAGCTTCCCRGAGCCAGCACAGAGCAGCTGCGAGGGACACCTCCACTCACCTGGCATGGCTGTTATGGGCCTTGGCCAGCTCCGGCGCGTTCCCGATGGCGTAGCCCTTGCTCTGCAGCACACAAGGGGCAACGGGGAGAATAAGCAGCAAGGAAAAGGGGGGAGAAAAGGCAAAACACTCGAGCTGAGCAGCTCCCYGCTGCCTCACCCACGCACAGGGCTTTAAGAGCAACTTTCACGGTGCTCTACTGAGCTACAGGTGACAACCCAGGATGGAAAGGGCACCAAGCTTCCGCTGAAGAGAAGGGAGGGTTAGCGYGAGAGAAGCAGGCAGAAGAGAGATGTCTGGAGGCAGGAGAGACRTGTGATCACGAAGAGAGTGTATGCRGACTAGGGAAAACAGGGACACCCCTGGAGCACATCCCCACCCACCTCGGGGCTGAAGCCCTTGGTGAAATCCTTCATGCGGCTCAGCGTGGGGCCCAGGTCCACATTGCTGCAGTTGAGGAGGACGCTCAGCAGGGCGTGGGTGGCGCACGAGTTGGGAATGAGCTGCAGGGTGACAGGGAATCATCTCAACGGGAACACGGCGTTCCAGGGACCCTCCCCGTTAGCCATGATCAACCACCAAGTAATGATGCAAGTGGGAGCAGCGACTTCTCCCGCTCCTCCGGATCCAGAGGGGACACAAGGAGACCCCAGCTGCACCAGGGACAAGGCCAGACTGCTCCAGCACCCTGGCTGCCTTTCTGCACTGCACTGGGATACACGAGGGGCTTCCCAGTCCTGCTCACATCACAACACGACCCCCGATCCCATGAGACCCAGAAAGGCAAGCCTGGCCTTGGCAGCCAGGCTTATGGAGGCACAGGAGGGAAGCAGTGTCCCCATCCAGGAGGGAAGCAGTGTCCCCATCCGTGCCGGCTGTGTCCCCTCTCCCAGGGGGATGGGTCACACAGCACATCTCCTACTCACTGGCAGCTCTTCCTTTCTTCTCTCTCCCCTTTTTTCCCCACTAAAGGATGTGACAACAGAGCGGAAGAGCTCCTGCCATCAGCGTCACAAGAGGCACCCCCTTCTCCTCCCTCGCCTGCAGCTCACCTGGTGGGCAAAGAACATGTTGTTAACGATGTCATCGTCGATCACCGACGTCTCATCCACCAGCGTGGAGACCTTGCGGCGGGATCTGCGCTCCTCGATCCACTTGAAGAGGAAGATGAACCCGTACACGGGCCTGCAGGGAGAGGCCAGCAATGGAATCACTTTGGAGACACGCAGGACCTCCCCACGGGGTCCTTCTCCCCACATAACTCTGTCCCCAAGYCAACCTGCCAGCAGCAGGAGCGAGCCCTTAGTAAAGCAAGGGCAGGAGATGCCCCAGCTGCCTCTACCTCCTAAAGCACTCCTGGGTTTAGAGCTTTAGGCCTTGCCCACCAAGGGGTTCCCAGGGACCGAGTCCCCAGGCCCACAGAAACATTTTGCTGAATTAAAAAAGGTCAGACTTTCAAACTGGCAACTTACCCTTGGCATTTGCTCTGCAGATCATAGATCTCTTCAACCTGCACCCCCTTGACCCCTGCAAACAAAGGGCAGAACGTGCTGTAAAGCCTGCTGGAAAGGGCTGGAGATAAAGCCAAGCACCAAGGCAACTTCCAGGAGGTTTCCGGCACTCACCAAAATCTTCAACCAACAGCGTGAAGAGACCTGGGAGGGAACAAAACACAGAGATTATTTCTGGCTGCAGAGCGGGCAGGAAAGCTGTTAAACACCCGGGACAACCTACAGCAAAACCTCTCCTCCCCCCTGGTCCTCGGAGTCCAGCTTAAACRGAGCTCCTGCCTCAGCCTTGCGACTTGCCAAGGGCAGAGCTCCTCGGTGGCACCCCTGAATTGGGGCAAAAGCAGCTGAATAGAGCACAGTGCCTTTAAAAGCAGGATTTTCATGGGTTTGTTAGTAAAGCCGGACAGTGCAGGAGAGCCAGCTGGGAGCAATGGGCCCCAAAAGGCTCACCTTCCTCCTCCTCTCTCCTAGGGTGACCAACTCCAACCTGTCTCGATCCATTACAACATTCCCATTACGGAGAAGAGGCCAAGGGATTATTGGAGACGGGCAGCTGAGCTGGAGCTACAACATCCCAGCAAACGCGGCTGGCCCCGTGTTCAGGCAGCTGAATTGGGAAGCTCAAGCCTGGAATACTAATCGTGCTCCTTGTGCTTCCTCAAAAGGCCGCTGAAATATTGGCAGGAGGTCCATGGATTACCAATAGGAAGGATTCAAGGCTGAGAAACTTTTCTAGACGCCAAGGACTTAAGGGGCCTGATGTAAGGGGGCTAGGCAAGAAGGGAAGAGAGCACGGGTGGGCTGAAATGACTAAAATGGGGAGAAAACTTCCAAGAAGAAAAACCCCCGCAAATTTAGCGGAAATAAGTCACACTAAGACTSAGGAGCCTGGAGATGGTGGTAAAGACAACAGTGGGAATAGAGGAATTTGGACAGGGTGCTAAATACAACAGCGGTGTACATACAACACACGCCCGGCACCCCCAGGGCAGGTCTGGCCCCATAGCCCGAACCAGGCCCTGACCCACAGCTCCGCACCAGGCCCCCCAAGTACCTGCCCTCAGGGCCAGCCCCATAACCAGGTCACAGGCCTGGTGTGCAGAGTGACACCTCTCCCACCCCATAGCCCCATTGCTGTCCTATATCCTACACCTCTGCCTGGGCTGCTCCCCCAGGGCCACCCCATAGGGCAGTACCCACACCCTAGGGCCAGCCTGTGGCCCCATAGCGTGGTATCGCACCCCAGGCTGGCCCCACAGCACAGTATCTGCACCCCAGGCCGCCCCATAGTGCAGTATCCACATCACAGGGCTGCCGTATAGCTCAATACCTGTACCCCAGGTCAGCCCCACAGCACGGTACCCGCACCCCAGGCCGGCCCCATAGCACATTACCTGCACCCCAGGCAGCCCCACAGTGCAGTACCCCACTCCAGGTCAGCCCCACAGCCCGGTACCTGCACCCCAGGCTGGCCCCATAGCACATTACCTGCGCCCCAGGCAGCCCCACAGCGCAGTACCCCACTCCAGGCCGGCCCCATAGAGCGGTACCTGCACCCCAGAGCAGCCTGCAGCCCCATAGTGTGGTACCTGCACCCCAGGCCACCCCATAGCATAGTACCTGCACCCCAAGCCAGCCCCATAGCACATTACCTGCACCCCTGGCAGCCCCATAGCGCAGTACCCCACTCCAGGCCGGCCCCATAGTGCAGTACCTGCACCCYAGGCTGGCCCCATAGCACGGCACTTGCACCCCATGCAGCCCCATAGCACAGTACCCCACTCCAGGCTGGCCCCACAGCGCAGTACCTGCACCCCAGAGCGGCCTGCAGCCCCACAGCACGGTACCCACACTCCAGGCCGCCCCATAGCACAGTACCTGCACCCCAGGGCTGCCCTACAGCTCGGTACCTGCACCCCAGAGCGGCCTGCAGCCCCATAGCACATTACCTGCACCCCAGGCCGCCCCATAGCGGGTACCCGCACCCCAGGCCGCCCCATGGCGCAGTACGCGCACCCCACTCCAGGCAGCCCCACAGCGCGGCCCCGCACCCCGAGCCGGCCCCACGGCGCGGCGCGCGCCCCACGGCCGCTGCCCCACACACCGGGGTCGCTCTCGAGCTCCAGCCAGCCCTTATTCATCTTCCCGCGGGCCGCGCCGCGCCGCCATGTCCGGGCCCGCCCCGCCCGCCGCGCACGTCACGCGCGCGCGCCGCCATGACGTCACCGCCCCGGGCGGCGCTTCCTGCCGTTGTGTGGCGGCCGTGCGCCCCCCGCGCGGCACAATGGCGGCGCGCGGACAATGGCGCCGTTGTGTGCGGACAATGGCGCCGTTGAGTGCGGACAATGGCGCCATTGTGTGCGAGGGCGCGGACAGGCGCTGCCGCGGGCCCGGGGCCGCCCCACCCCGGCGGTGCGGGTCACCCGGGCTGCGGTGCTG